CTTCTGCAAAAAAAGGCATGCCTACAAATTTCAGCTACGTGGCAGGTACAATCCCATGCTTCATTAAATCTTTATTTCTCTGCTAAGGCTTCTTTCTGTAGCGATGATTTCACTATTTGTGAAATTAAATTAATAGCTCTAAAGCAAAGAATTATTTAGTTGTGTAAGAGAAATATGTTTCATTTTCCCCAACATTTTTTACATGTTTGAGAAATATTTTATTCAGATCCAGGTATGCTTAAGCCAGACTAAAAATTGACAGCTACACATGACAATGTATTAACCACTCCGCTGATATTAAGGGAAATCCTGAACTTCAGTTTCTGAGGCCTCCCTGATTGAAAGAACATTGCAGAAGGTTTTTTTCAACAGCTATATTAGTTACATTTCCTGCCTTGATAAATGCATACTACAAAGTCCAAAAGCACTTCAAGTTATCAAATTGCCTTTGATTACTTAAGTCTAAATAATACATCCACCTTTCATCAACTGAAGAAGAACTTTTAAGGTATTCCACTGTTTTTTTTTCAAAAAAACTCAACAACAGAACACCACTTTTTTTGTATTCTGTGTTCACTCAGTTTAATAATTGGATTTCTGTCCTGTAATTCTTGCTTTACATGTTTATTGATACTTACCTATGGTTAAACCATAGTTTCTTTGAAGGCCACATTTGCAGCTAGTGTAAGAGTGGTCAAATTTATACTTAGAGCAAGAAATCTGTCCCAGAACTGATACAGCGCGGTGTCAACGAATTTGAAAACTCAGTGAATAGTTCTAGGATGAGCTTCTTTAACATGAAGCACACTGGCTCTTCCTGCAATCATTCACTAGTCGGGTTTGTGCTCACATAGTACTTTGACCTATGACATCCTCACTATAATAGCCAAATAAGTCAAGGTAATATTTTTTGTGAGTCACGAGTCCTTTAGTGCCTTTTTTTTGGTAACTATCAACATTTAGTTAAGGGCCTCAGACAGGGGAAAGTATCCTGAGGACTCTTCTGCAGTGCAGGTCCTGTTTTTTTTTCCTGCCCCAAGCAGAAACTGCTTTCTTTTATGGGTTCAGGAATACTCAGCTTTGGAAATAGTTGTTGAATTTTCCCTGATGCAGGCTAGTGAGGAGACACCAGCCCAGTGGAACTGTCTGCATCCTCTCTTGGGGCCACGTAACCTTTAGACCCTAGAAACTCTTGCAATATTTTCTTTTTAGCTTTGTACAAAGACCTTTCACCTAACTAAGGTAGCTGGCTACAAATCTAGCATCCGCAGGGCATTCCTGAGTTTTCTTAGCTGAGGATAAGATGGATATATCTTACTTTTATATTTACTGAGCTTTCAACAACTCCAGAATAGCAAACAAAGACCTTCTTTACTATTACTGTTAGTATCATCATGAGTCTACTGGGAGGTTATCTCTGTATTCTTATCTCACCTGTGTGTAAAGAACCATACAGAAACACTTCTTGTTATGAATAAGCAAGTGGCGCGTGATGTCAAACCCCGTAATTTATGATGTAATTACTAACCACAAAGCGTTCTGACTTCACAAGGCAGATAGGTATGTCTGAGATTTTAACAGGTGTTAAAATTCAAAGTTACTGGATTGCAACTGGGTGCTATAGATCTTCCTCTGACATTACTAATCTTGACTAGTTTCCTTCATTAATATTTCCATTAATTTCTGATATCCAACATGAAGGTGGAAGGATCTGCTCCTTAGCAAGTATGAATATTGGCCTTAAATGACAGACTTGAATTCATATACAAGTCAAATTCCCTAAAAATGCACTCTGCACTGTAGGTAGTTCCACCTAGTCAATATTTTTAACATGCTTACATGTATAACACATTCCAAAAGAGGTGTTGACAATTTGTAGAGCAACACGTGAGGTGACTGTGAGAAGCGTGAACTGATAAAAGCTTCAGGAAATAAAGCTCTAAAACATGTTTGTTATCACTTGAGATCCCTTTGAAAAAAATACAGTCTACAGCCAAACAGAAAAAAAAAAAAGAGAAAACTTAAAAACTGTAGTTAACTGGTGGTTTTTTGTTCTCTCTTGGGTAAATGTGGCCTAAACCACTGATAAACTGGAAGAGCATTTTTTTTTTTAATCATGTCTTGCTCCTTTCCAGTCCCTCCTGAACTTTGATAGCTACAGATGTCTAGGTGTAGCAAAAAGGAAAATGTTTGCCCTTTTATATGAATCGAAGGCCCTTTTATATGAATCGAAGGCCCTTTTATATGAATCGAAGTTTAGAATGAAGTGAAAGGATTCAGTCAAGTCGCAAACACACCCTTTAGTAACTCCCGGGCAGTTTTGCAAGACATCACTTATGACAAAATCATGATGAATTTTATACAAGCCGCATTTATACTTTTTTTACTGTTTAATTATTTGAGCAATTTAAAAGTTTAGTCCCAGAGATCTGCTAATGCACTTGTCTTACGTGAAAGGCATCTCAAGATTCAGCTAAGTTTAGATAAGTCAGAATAATAAAATATCTTTGCAAGCAACTACATCCTTCTCGGCTGTCTACAAGTAGGTGCAAAGACTACTCAAATCTTTATCACAATTGCCTCTTCCCTTCCTTCTGCATTTAAAATCTCTATGTCACATCCTCAGGTGTTGGTCTGTTTTTTGGTGTTTTTTTTTCTTCCCCACGGGTATTTGTGTTCTGTGGAAATAGCTGCTTTTGCTACCCTGATCAAAATGAGTTGAAACCATGGATGGACAGAAGAAAGATACGTTCAGGAAAGGTTTGGAAACCCTTTGTTTAATTCTAATCCTCTCCTCTGAGCTGTGAAGAGAGATGGTATTACCTGGTGCTGATAACAGAGCCTGACCTGAACGTGTTTTGAACGCCTCACTTTTTTCAGGCTGAGAAGCCTAAAGTTCTCAGCACTGCATGTCATCTAGTCCCTAAATATTGGGTGTGGATGGGTTTTTCAAGTGTGGTGGTGGTGTTTTGGAATGCTGTGCAGTTTAGTTGGTCTTGTCCAACTGAAAAAAAAAAAATTAAAATAAAATAAAAATCTGAATATGCCAGAAGGTTATGAAACTGTCTGAACTGTTAAGTTGCTAGGATGTAAAGGGTAAAAATACTAAGATGAAACCAATGCCTTCTAAAACTGTGTGAAAGTCAGTTCACTAGCCAAAGGCTATACGTAGTGAATATCTAGAATATACGCATTTCCAGGAGTCTGTATATACGTGGTAGCAGCGTATATGTATAGATCCAAAGCCAGAAGTTGGTCAGCATTTTCATAAAACAAATCTCTGCATCTTTTGTGTCTATACTAGTAAACAGATGTTGGCTGAAGAATATCATCCAAGCTAAGGTTGAAGTTCATCTCTAAAACTATTCCCAGTGTAGCATCTGAATGCTTATAAAATCTGCCTACTGATTAAGCCACGGAACCATAAAAAGTAAATGCTGCTTCAATGTCTTTTCATATTCTCACTTTGATCATAACTGCAATTTTTAGGCAGATCATAACTTAGAAATTCTTACACTGAACAATATCTAGTTCTTCAGATCTCAGTGATTTTTAACGTGGTTACTCCAGTAATCTTCACCAGGTAGGAAGATTTGGTCGCTGATACTTAGGGACATAGTCTATTGGAAATGTAACATGTTTGCAAGATTAAATTATTTGAAATGGGTAGCATGGCTCATAGCTTACTGTAAAATTTTAGCTTAGCAAACAAAGATGTGACAGTCTTTTCCTCTCTCTAATCCATTTTCATTCTGCCCTCCGAGTAAACTTCCTGACTTCTTTCTCTTTATATAGACTGAGTTTTTAATGGTTCCTGCAACCATTCTCATGAGAAATTGGAGAGACACTGGAACTGTAACATATGCAGCTAGCTTTTCTGGCAATCAGGCTTTATTTCACATCTCTGCATCATTATGGTTGCAGCAGGCATCCTGACTGCAGCTTTTTAACGCGATCTCCCTTCCGTGCTCTTGATTCATGTAGGTTCAATTCTCAGGGAACTTCTGCAATAATTGGTGTATTTCCATGTTGCATTATTTTCCCTTAGCTTGACGGCAGTCAGTAAGAAATTATGGGCGACCACAAAATTTTACAGATTTCAGCAGTAAACAATTGTGGCAAATCCATCTCTGCGCAGCAGGCAGAGAATCGGGAACTAGCAATGTAATAGGGAAATTCCGACGCGATTCGAGTTCATCAGCTTGTGGTTTTCATGGGATGCAAGAGCTTTTATTCATTGCAGGGCTAATCTCTGTACCAAGAGAGTGGTACTTCTGGCTTAAAATTTTAGACCTGGCTGCACAAAGACCACAAAAAGTCTGAGAAATATAAATGGGGGAATTTCTGGCCACCACAGATCTGTGCATGAGGATTTATCCAGTGCTCCAACAACATTAAGAGCCTAAAAGGTCATTGTAGCCAGCCTAGATTAAAGGAATCCCTTTCATCATCAGTGATGATGAGAACCAAAGAGGAGTTCTTAAGGTACCCTCTTCCTCATCACCTTCTGTTCTGTGCGTGCCCTGCTTAGGATTCAGCTTTTGTGGTTAACTGCACACAGGAGACTGCACAAAATAACATCCCGGTGAGAAAGCGAGTATTTCAAATCGGACTTATATAAGGAATGTACAGAGACGGACAGAAATGGCATTCCTCTATACCTTAAATGAGGTATTAAAATAGTTACGTGAATGAATGTAGAATAAAGTAACAGGCATGCTTACAACTCTGAATACAAGCCAGACAGTGAGCAATACTCTCAGGGAAGGAGTAAAATCTATGTGAGGCCTTACGGAGGTTAGTAACATTTGTGATAAATTGTAAAGTACAAAAGAGCTGAGCTGAAACTCAAATCTCTTTGCTACAGCTAATTACAGGCTTGGGTAGAAGACAACTACAAGTTTCTCCTCCTAATAGTTTGCCTACCTCGAGCCAAATAAACTAAGAATGTTTTGGGGGAAAAAAAAAAAAGAAAGATAAACCATGCTTTCTTGCTCAAACTACAACATTGTAACAAATGGTATTTTCTTCTTGACTGGCTGATAACGTAATGTAAGATCATTGCCTACCTTAAGCTCTCTGAAGAAGATGCTACTCCTAGCCCACTCAACAATGGAGAAGAGGGTTTGGTCAGCCATTTTACACATCAGCCCAAACGTGTTGAGCTTCTCATGTTTGCTTCTGTTGGCCTGCTCTTGCTGCAGGTACGCCATGATCTTCGCTTGGACCTGCGGCTCGTCTGGCTCGCACTTCAGGAGTTCCAATATCAGGTGCGGGATACTTGCCGGCGAGCTCGTTTGGTAACTATCCATGTACGAGTAGCCCATGATTGACTCGGGCGAGCTGGTGTAAGGGTCGGGGTACTCGGACTTGATGGCACGGCTTGGGAAATGCCCGTAGGTCTGGTAACCCTGCAAACTGCCGTGGGGCGGCATGGCCATGCTGATGGGAGAGGTGACGAAGGGACTTCGGTCATAGTCTGTGGGAGGCAAGGCAGTATGGTTCAGAGGTAGGCCTTTGGAGGCAGAATGGATGTTCTGGATGGCAGAGGATATCGTCAGGTCAGTGGGCATCGCTTGGATCACCTGAGTCATGGCTTCCAGTTTAAGTCCGTTCGCTCGGATAAGAGCTTTCTTCTGCTGCTTCAGCGCCCTGTCTCTCTTGTACATTGGTCCGAACTTGTTTCGACCGCCACGCATTCGGTCGGCTCGTACAGCTGTTTGGGAGGGGAGGAGGTAAATCATAATTAAAACTCAGAATCGACATTCTCTAATGAGCCATATATTAGGACAGAGCAGAAATGTAAAAATGAAACTCTTTTTTTTTTTCCCCAAAGCAGCACTTTCACTCCTAAAGAAAAAATCTGTTTTGACTTAACTATTTTTCTGGCAATTTAAATATCACATGCATGTACTACTAACATAGAAGGACTTCTCTTGACATTGATTATGACACAGGGACAAACACAATGGTTGGCTACAGGAATTTCACACCTGCTAGGGGATCATGTGGAGATCTCAATGGGTATTTGGTTTTATGTCAAGCTACTATATCATTAAGAAACAAGGGCTGATGTCCAGAATTTGTCTGAGACACATCCAGCGGACCACACTCTCTCATTCTAATCATTCCATTACTGCCTTCCACCGCAGCAAAACATCTGAAACGTAAATTGTGAAATGTTCAGTAGTCACAAAGGGCAACGCATTTTCTCGTGGCAAAAAAAAAAAAAAGGAAATAATTTCCTTTTGACGATTCTGTTCAGGTTGGTGTAAAACGTCCAGACATTTCTGGTCAGCTGAACAGCTCCGCAGAAATGTTTAGCTGCAGTTGGAACACGCAGAGAGAAAGCTGTCGGCTCGCTGCCTTCCACGCAGAAGGTGGAAGCGAAACACAAACTATTGACACCGTTCTGGCTCGTAGTGTCTCTGGAACTAGAAATAATTTAAAACAAATCCACCTCAACAGCTGCCTTGGGAGCCATACTGGTGGTCTCTGTCACAGCAGTGTCTGTCACCGCGGTATGTACGCAATGGACTAGCGCAGAGCTTTCACCGAGCCCACCTTGCCCAACGGCAATGAGACTGAACGCGGAACCTTTGACAGTCTGGTGACACGTTGAGACTGCTGAGATTGCTGGAGGTTAAGTTCTTGAGCTTTTTATCTTAGGGATTAGTAGAACATTAAAAATTTATTATGAATGCTAGAGACGCATAATACTGTACATTATCATAAGGACTTTACCGTTTAATGATTTTATTTATTTATATTTTTTTTTTGGTCCACGGTAATTTATGACCTAGACTTTAAGGCTATATTATATCGCTATCAGGGAAACACACATAGAAATGTTGTACGTATTTATGATTATGGAAGCATGTGTTCTTCTAAACAAAGGAAAAGCGAGTGTGTGGATAAGGAAGATAAAGTGCATTTTCTAGAGTATCTTTAAAACTCCAGGCACTCTGCTTAAATTTGTAGTAAAAATGCTGCTGCTAATACTGCTGTTGAATGTTGGGTTTTGAGCAAAATGCAGGAAATTACATCGCCACACTCTAAGTGCAATTAACTTTAAATCTGTGTATATAGTCTTCTCAGAGGTACTCTACAATTAAACTGTGAGCCAAATTGGATTGTCAAATCATTTTGTATAGCTCCTACAGAAATTGAGGTGAACTGTCAGCAAATGAGAGGAGTTTAAACTAGGAGCAGGTAAATGTGTTTTCTTCCTTATTTCTAACATCAACAACGAGAAAAGGATTCCAAATGCCTTGTTAGGGTACTAGCTGAATTTGGAAGAACATGCAGTGTGATTCGGGATGTTTGGTGCAGTGTGTCAGTGCCAGCTCAGTCTTGTGGGCAAACAGAGTAATATTTTATCCATTCAAACTGCAGGAGGCTGATTTTTTCTGTTTTTCTTCAGTTATACAAACAGCTTTCCTTTGCCAGACTCAGGTGATCGGGTCTTATCACTTATGGTCGCCTGAATAGTTTATGGTTTCCTTCCTTGGCCTGATTTTTCCTGGTTAAGCATCTAGAGTGAATGCCATTTCAGTGTAATTGCAAGAATAAAGAATTTAGGTCTGCTTGACCAAGGACAAGCTCCTATCATTTGCTGTGAAATCTGAATTTTAATATTTCATGTATCCAACTTAGAGTGAGTTGTGTACGATTCTGAAATCTGAGCTGAGGATAACTTTGCACTCAGTTATCTCAGAGGGTACCGTGCACTTGTCATTGTTCTCTGTACTTGAGAAAGTGAAATGAAGTCAGAAACTATACTTCAAAATGCCCTATTCTCTTTCATTTGTAATAGCATCTCAGGTGTAGCATCACAAAAATATAGGACACAACTTCAGAGATCATTTGGTTCCTTAATCCCAAAGGCAAGTTGGTGTGAGAAAACCCCTTATTTTATCTGTTTCTCTGTTTTCTGCCTTTTTTGTCAGAAGAATCTACATACAGAAAACAAACCTACATAAAATATAAAGAAAATCAGATTGCGCTCCACAGTAATGATTAATTGGGTTTTTTTTTTCATATCTGGACACTTCTTACATATTTTATGTTTAATCTAAATTAAGTTGTCTTAAAAAGCTGCAAAACTATTCTATCTAGATCCATTTGTTTGAAAACTCTAGAATACTGAAACAGCAATTTATATACATACATGGAAAAATGGATTATGGTTTTGAATATTTGTTAGTGATTTACCATTTACTCATTAGTTGTTTTATAAAGCAATACTTCCATTGAGCATAGAAAGTCACCTTTTACTACGATATCAAAAACCTCAATCGATAAGTAGCTTTTAAAATACAAAATAGCAGGTAATAACATATGTAATCCTATCATTTTCAAAGTTAATCTACAGTATATCAGCAAGACTGTAGCTCTTACCTTCCAACTTCATTCCAACACTTAGACATTTTTGAAACCGACAGTAAGGGCAGCGTTTTCTCTGGGTTTTGTCAATCTGGCAATTCTGATTTTCTATACATGTGTACCTTTTGTTATTCTGGACTGTTCGCTTAAAGAATCCCTGTATGACAGACACAAAAGTTAGCTTGTTTTGCTTGAATAGCATGTCTCGGCATTTTATTTTACGGAATTCATTCTAACATTTTTCACACACCACTAAAGCACTTACGAAGTTACGTAGTTTATTTTAAATTACAGTGAGATGCACCCAGGAGAAAACCACCGGACTCCAGAGGGAGAGGTTTTTGGTGTTTATTTTCTAGACTCATGTCAAAGCTTGGTAAGACTGGCTGTAGCCTGCTGTATCCCAAATAGTGGTAGCAGAAACAGGGAGGCTGAGCAGTTCCTTTTGTATTCCTTAATCATGCAAAATTATTAAAGTCTTCCTTTTAAATTGGTTTTACATTAAATAAATAGGGACACTGTTGAAAAGATAACAGAAATACGAAGTACCCCTGGCTACTGTGCATCCCAGTGGTGCCCGCTAGAAGCATAAGTGCTTGTTGTTCATTTCTCATTGATTATTTTTTTATGAAAATATAATGTGCTAAGTTAATTTTTCCAGGCAACTAAATATTTTAAATTGCATTCTTCTGGCAAGTGATTTTCCGTTACGGTACTTTACTTAGGTAATCGTAAACAACTTGAAAACTATTTTACATTACAAACTTGACAGGTCATAAATTTATCAGTATTTAAATCCTTTAGTATAATAGAACCATGCAGATACATTTACCTACCCATATGATACGTTGCATTTACAAGTATTTTCAAAATGAATGAACTATCTAAAAGAAACCGTACATTAGTTACTTGACTTTGTGTGTCAAGTGAGCTCTCACAGTCATAATTTGTATGAAAAAAAGGGCATGGCCATTACAGTCACAGAAATCTTCACTGTGATATGAAAATGAAAAAAAAAAAAGAAAAAAAAAGTCTCCAGAAAGCTGCATTAGACTTTGTAAATCTGATCTGTGTTAAGGATAGTTTTCCTACTTTATCCTCCGGGAACAGAAATACTCTGAACGTATATAAATCAACTAAAATCAATATTTAGGACAGTTAGGAATGAAAGTTGTTCTACAAACTACATCACTTTGCCACAGCAAAATACTTAAAAGCAACGATAAAGCTACGATGCAAACCAGCCCAAATTGTTTCTATTTGTGCAGATGAGATCTCTGCAAGAGACTTTTAAATCCTAGAGCTTTTTGGTAGTTATTTTTTCTTATGTCACTGCAACAAGAAACGTATCAGAAATAAGCCGAATTATTATGCACCTATTTTATTTAATTATATATTTTTGTTCTGCTTTATTTGAAGCTTCTTTTGCAGTATTTGTGTTTGTATGAAGTAATTAGTACAGAACCTTGCAGCTTTCACAAGTGAGAAGTCCATAATGGTACCCAGACACTTTATCTCCACAGACTGGACAGAGTTCCTCAAGGTCTTCGTCATAAGAGTAATTCACCATTTTAAACTGAGACACTGGGGAAAGGAGAAATAGCAGGTTGAATTAGAATTTACATTAGTAACTCAGATTTTCCACAGCTGTTCTCATCGAGGGAGAAAGCTCACTTAAACACACATACCACTGCAAACTGGGGGAAAAAAAATAAAAATAAAACACAGCTTGTATTGAGACATGCAACTTTTCATCAGCAGCAAATTCGTGTGTTTTATGTTCTAAATATTTATATTTAGAGACTGCCCCTAACCTAGTCCTTAGCTTATGCAATCGCAAACTAAACGAATTTATGTAAATCCGAGAATTATCAGGGGCAAAGCCCAAGGGGAGCAGAATTCAGAGAATGAGTGCCGCTTGCGCATTCGCAGCAACTTACTTCGTTTCCTTTCAAGTTTTTCTTTCCACATCAGCCCGCAAATACTGACTTAGCCTAAACTTCTATCTTACAGACCCAGCACTTGGGCGCAGCGTTACGGGCAGGTCACTTATTTGCAAAACCAGCCTCAAACAACGTCCTCCAAGCCCCCCAAACTCGTTGCCCGGGGGTGACCCCCCCACAAACCCCGGCACCTCGCTCTCTCAGCCCGCAGCCCCCGCCTTTAGCCACGGCGGAGGCTCTTTTTTTATTTTTTCGAGTGGGCGGCGGGGGGCAGCGGGCCGGGACCGCCCGCC